CGCCGCCCGGGCCGGCCCGCGCGGGCAGCTTGCTCAGGGGGCCGTGGCGCCGCTCTGCCGGGACAGCAGGATGGGAAGGGGGGAGAGAAGCCCCRTTGGGATCGGCCGAGACCGGGCGGCCCTCCCAACCCTCTGGGCTGGGAGTCCCCTGCCCGGGATGGCTCCTCATCCCCGCAGCATCCGCGTGCTCACCGGGCCACCCTGTCCCCGGGTATCCCCAGTGCCAGTGGCGGTGAGGTCTTCCCTACACTCACCGCAGTGTTTCTGGAAGGCTTGAGGCTTCACCACTTGGCTGCAGTGGTTGCAGACCACGAGGTAAAAGTCGTCGTGGGCCGGGCAGTGGCCAAAGATGGACATGTCTGCGAGGGCGAGACGCCGTTTTTGGCTGCAGTGCCCCAAAACGCTGGGGTTTCTCCCCAGAGCAGGGAGCCGGCCCACGCTCACCTTCCTTAATGAGGGTCATGGCATCCAGCTTCTTGCTCCCACTCTTGCCGCTCTCCTCCAGCTCCAAMCCTGTCGGAGACAGAACGGGGCGTCAGCAGCGCCTGCGTGCCAGGGGCTCCGGGCGAGCCAGGACCAAGGGCAGGGGACAACAGTGTCCTCAGGGCCAGCACTGCTCCGACCCGGCTGGGATGCCCCGGAGGTGCCCGCGGGTGGCAGCTCCCACTGTCCACAGGCACCRGCATCGCGGCAGGGGACACGGGGACACCCGTGTGCCCATCGCGCTGCAGCCTGCGCTGGGCAGGGGTCCGGCTGATCCGAGCTCTGCGGCGTGGGCACCCGTGTCCCAGCTGGCCCTGCCAGCAGCGCCCAGGGCCATGCGTCTGCGCCATCCTGATCATGTCCCCTCTGGCCGTGTGTCCTGCGCCACACTGGTCACCCAGGGCCATGTGTCTTGTGCCACACTGGTGACCCAGGGCTGTGTGTCCTGTGCCACRCTGGTCGCCCAGTCCCTTCTGGCCATGCCAGGGCGCCTGTGTCCCGTCCAGTCACGCTGTACTGGGTGCCCAGTCCCAGTCGGCCAGGTCACAAGCAGGGCAGGGTTCCCCGCTCCGCGCGGCCGTGCTGAGTGCCGGCATCCCGGCCTCTGTGCCCCCTGGGTCCCCATCCCGCCTGGCCACGCTGTGCTGGTCCCCAGGGTGCCTGCACCCGCGCTGTGCCACACTGGGTGCCCAGTGCCATCCGCACGAGCCCGCTGGTCCCCGGGTGCCACGGGCTGAGCCGTGTCCGCGGTGCCACGCTGCACCGTCCCGCGGGGCGCCCAGTCCCGTGCGTCCCGCACCGGCCGCTCCGGCTGCTCCGTCCCGCTGCCCGTGTCACCCTTGTCACCCCGTCCCGCGTCCCCGCGCAGCGCGGCTGCCGTCGCGGCTCTGGGGCCGCCGCTTCCCGGCGCGGGGCACCGACTCGGCAGCCGGCGCGCGGTGCCCGCGG